GATAGCTGTTTTTAGCTGTTTTTAGCTGTTTTTAGCTGTTTCATAGCAGTTCAATAGCTGTTTGATAGCTGTTTGATAGCTGTTTTTAGCTGTTTTTAGCTGTTTTTAGCTGTTTTTAGCTGTTTGATAGCTGTTCAATAGCGGTTTAATAGCTGTTTGATAGCTGTTTGATCGCGGTTCAATAGCAGTTTTACAGATCAAATTACCGAAAGTCAATGGCGCGATATCGTTTTCGAGAATATGTCTCGCGGTGACTTCATCGTACACGTGCAAAACTGTACATCGCAGATTTCTCAGAAGGCTACTGAGATGAAATTAGATATGATAAACAAACGATGTGACAATAGTGAGATGTAGTAGGATGAATTTGAAGGTACGCTCAGTAGTCGAGGACTAGAAGTGAGAGTCGGTTGACGTGCTTGATCGTGCGGCTTATACAGACAATTGGTTCGTCCTGGCCATCTTAATGCTACTGTAAACAGACTGTGTGCCAACGAAAACTTTTAACAAAAGTAAGAGATATAATAATTTATTTTATGTTTACACATATTTAAAAAATAGTATATTTTATAGAAAATATGAAACCACCGGTAGAAGAACCGGCAGTAGATTCGTTGGAGGCCGACGGGGTTCTTCCTCAGAATTATAACGAAGATTACAGCGCATATCAAACACTGAATACGTATTATTGCGTCATAGGGATTCGTCCCTTTTATATATGGCCGGTACACCCTCGACAACGACTGTGCGAGGCGTGTTTTCTCGTATCTCCTTATCGTCATCGAGTGCCGGGATACGGGTACAAGCCGAACTGGCATGCCATTATGAATCAATTGCATGGATTAAACATAAATGTAAAGATTAAATGTAAGGAGTGTGAATGCGTGTTGTGTGTGATTAAACCAGCCAACCAGTGCCGAGCCTGTATCGGCAAGTGGTTGGATACTGACGTAGTTTTACAAAAATTTAACAATATTCCTAGAAATTATGAATTACCGTTATATGTAGATTGAAAATATAAGCATACAATAATTATAATATTAAAATTCATAGATATTTACTATTAAGATATACATATTTTTAAGTTTATATTAAGATAAATAAAAAAATGTAATATGGTTAAATTAAAAAAATATAATATGGTTAAATACAATTGAAAATAATACAATTATATATATAATCGAATAATATTATATTATAATAATTTAATTTTAATTAACATATATAGTCCTTATACATATAGTGAAATGTAATTTATTATATTTATCATTTTCAAGAATATGTCTCGCGGTGACTTCACGCACACGTGCAGGTATTCGCGCAAACGGGGGTCGGGGGCGAGCGAAAGAAACCGCGAGCGAGAACACGCGAGGGAAAGAGACCGCGCGAACGAGAAGACTCGCGCAAACGGGGGGGACGGGGACGCAAGACACCGCGCGAACGAGAAGACGCGCGCGACCTGGGGACGGGAGGGGGACATCTACGAGGGGGAGATAACGCGAGCGTGCCGTGTGACGTCACGCGGACTCCGCGGCGCGGCGAAACGCGAACGCGGGTCCCCTCGCCCCGCGGCGCCCGAAAACGCGAACGCTCCGCGGCGCGGTGAAAACGCGGACCCCCTCGCCCCGCGGCGCGGCGGAAACGCGGTCACCTCGCGGCGCTGGAAAACACGATTCCCCCCTCCCCCGCAACACCGGAAAACGCGGACCCCCTCCTCCGCAACGCCGGAAAACGTGGTTTCCCCCTTCCCCTCCCCGCGGCGCCCGAAAAAACGCGGTTCCCCCCTTCCCCCTTTCCCGCGGCGCCCAAAACGCGCGGTCCCCCCTCTCCCGCGCCCCCCGGGTCCCCCCCCGCGGTTCCCCTTCGCCCGCGGTTCCCCCTCGCCCGCGGTTCCCCCCGCCCGCGGTTTCCCCTCGCCCCTCACCCCCCCTCATTGCTCCCTAGTTAGAACTCCCATAGCTTACCTACTAAAATTACATGCAAAAAAGTAAAAAGCGGATAAAAAATTGTGGCAAACCATTAGAAGAATATTCTAACCGAATTTTTGAATTAAATCAACCTCCACCTGAAAAATGTTATATAAAATCATATCCTATTATTCATTTTAAAAAAGCAGTTTAAGGCAATGATGATATATCTCATTTAGAATTTAATGAGTTCACTATATTTACAAAAAAAAATGAAAACTGTTGTTTACTGAATGATAATTCATTAGTTTTTGTTTTAGAAATAATTTTGGATAGTATAAATAACGTTCCATACATAAACGTGAAGCGAATTATACTTACTGTGGCGGTCTCCCAACCGCACAATCGAAACGGTACGCGCGCCGCGCGCGCGCCAACCGATCACGCGCCGAGCGCGTGGACCAGGCTACGGCCCGCGAAGCTAGACGAGAGTGCCGCCAACAGGTGGCAGACTTTCTCGCGTTTCATTTCCAGTCAGGGCAGAATAAAAGGCCACACGACGACGGCCTAGGCAGCTATCGACTGCTCGCAGGCTCACCGCCAAGACCAGGAGCAGTCTTTTGGATAAGAGATACTTGTCGCCGCCGAAGCTACGGCCACCACCAAGACGAGCTGCGCCACTCCGCCTGCCGACACCGAGACACCCTCAACGGCCCCTGGACTACCGTCCTGGCCACACGGGGAAACTCGTCCCGCTCCAGCTCTCACCGGTACGACTGACTCGTCCTCCACGCACACTCAACGTGGGACGTAAGAGTCCGGCGCTACACTTCTCCTCAACTATCATGGACGGCGCCTCCACTCCTGTCGCCTCTGCCGCCATCACCTACCAAGCAGCTCACCACGGCAGACACGACGCCTCGAATATACGGCCTAGTTCACCACGGACATACGACATGTGTCAGGAAAAGACAATGTCGTAGCCGACGCCTTATCGAGGGTAGATGCTGTACACCAGGCCATCGACTACGAAGCACTGGCCAGACCACAGCACAAGAAGAACCCAAACGGCCCTTTTCAGGGCCGCCTCCACGGCCCTTCTCAGGGTCTTCTTCAGCACACTGACACACCTACATCTGTATTATAGGACAATAGAATAAACGACCTATTTATTACATACATCTGTCTCTCAGCTCACTCGACGATCCCTCTCACACTACGGCATATCCTCTTCTAAAGAACTACTGGGTATTCAAACTTTTACGGAAACAAGTCCCTTTAACATTGAAAAATTGCCGGCAGCAAACATAAAAACAAAATGTTTGAAACTAAAACATCTCGAGTTGCAAGACACATTTGTCATAATTCCACTTTTGCATGCAAGCACATAATTATTATTATTAATTTGGTTTATTATTACGTTGTTCACATATTCTGAGAGTTTTATGTTCTTTCTAATGGGCTTAATTACTAAGTTAGAGACAATATTTTAGTATGCTTTTTAAACAATGATCTGACAATACTGATAGGTTTGTGTTTTAGGATTACTGATTTGGATATTGCTGTATAGGTTTGGTTTTAGTTGAAGTTTTTAATGTTGAGTAAATGTTTTGAGTATATTATACCTGTACGTTACATTATTAATACATTATTATTTTTGTTTCTTTCATTTCTCTATTTCTTATAAAATAATCTATCAAACTTCATAATATTAATTATTTTATAGTACTTTCTTATGTGTGTCTGTGTGTGTGAATTACACTAAATTTTTAAAATTTATTTCTAACTTTATAAAATATTTGACAATTGGGAGTATAAAAAAGTTTATAGTGTTTTTTGTGAGGACATTTATAGATTCCATAGATTCCATGGTGGACTGAGTTATTGCTACTGTGAGTTTGTATAATATCTATATAATATATATATTTTTTTTTCAGAAAAAATGTCCCAAAAAGCATTATACGCAGTTGTACAATTTTTAAATGATCAAACCTTCTCAGAAGTTCCAACAAACTGGATTAATCGAGATGAGAAAAATAATGACATCATTTGTTGGTGGCCTAACACGAAGAATATCAGTTCGCTAATCGAAAATCGAACTAAACCAGATATGAAAACATGGTCAATGTTTGACATTACAGTGATCAAATATTGTTGTAAGTTACAATTTTATAAAAATATTTTTGCAATTCCAATATTTTCATTATTTTGATTAATCTCTTTTTCTCTTTTAATGTTAAATGCATATTATTTATATTATATATCAATTACAGGATACAGAGGAAAATCAATCTATCCAGAGTAATTTCGAGAAAAACACGTTTTTAAGTTTCAAGACAGATATTTTAGAAAGCTATTGAAAAAATCAGTATAAAATTTAGTTAATATCGGAACGTAGCTTTTAGTCTTTATTTAGTATTTTATATATTGCATATTGATTCTGATATGATTCTTTCCCACAAGCACATGAACTATGATCGCTTTTTCCTAGTCACGGTACATCTTTCAATGAATTGTAACTATGTTCTAGATCAAAACAGATAAGAATTATAATAATTTTTTGAAAACGCTACAAGATAGTATGATCAGATTAATTTTGACAAAAAGTAGACTTTAATCGTTTTTTCGCCCGTATCCTTCAATTATTAACTTAATAACATTATTATAAGTACTACTATTATTGCGTATGTTAATTCTAATATTATTATTATTTGGGTAGCGTCACTTGCATCTACACGAAAGTCAGCTGCAGATTCTCATTATGATACGACTGACGAGGAAAAATTTGGACGAGGGCAAAGGACATTAAACAAGAATTATAATAAACATATTTTACATGAGATAGAGGAAAACGATGATGATGATGATTTAGATGACGAAGGAAATAATAAAGAAAATGACGACAACAGCAATGAAAGAAATAAGAAGTCAAGTAAACACTTGAAACAGAGTAAGTTTTGTATATTTACTTTGAATTTTAAGTGTATTTGTATAATATGCTGAATATTTGAGATGCTTATTTATTCTTTGTAATTTACTTTCTTTACAGGTATTAACCGTCCTACTTCAAATCCTATGCCCACATATGATCCTGAGAAAGCAGAAAACTCACGCCAATCTGTTAATACCTGCACCACAAAAAAATCTACATTTTTCTACTTCTACTAAAAATTCTGAAACTGAAACTTTAGCATCATGTTCAAGTATGTTTATACGTTACAATTTGGTTTGCATAAATGTATAAAATATATTAAAAAGTGATTATAATCTGCAGATATCAACAAATGTAGCTCTAACGAAATAATAGTTAAGAAAACTCTACATCCTGATATTTCGTCATCACCTGTTACTCTGGATCTTGATAATATACCTATTTTAGAGATTCCATCAGTACAAGAAGTCTACAACATTCTGGAACAAATAGAAAGTAAGTAATGATAAATTATTATACTTATTTTATATATATTTTATATATGCTTTTTTTAGATATGGATTTTATATGTATTTTATATATGTAGTTTTTATTTTTATAAATTGTATGTCATTTTATATGTTATAAAAATGTATTAAATATTTATCAATGTCAACTATGCATGACGTTTGCATAATCGTACATAAACTTAAAATGCATGTATGTGCTGTATGTTTCTTTTTAATTGCAGAAAACGTAGATAAAATCACACGAGAAAATGTTAAGATCAATTTCGAGCTAACGAGTATATCAAAAAGATTGGGTACATTGGAATCCTGTCGCCATAATAATATAGAACCTGCAGAAAACGATATGGCAATGATAATTTCACTATTGCCAATTAAAACAGTGGAATCCATAAAAGAATTTGATGATTTAATTAAATCAAATGAGACTGCTGCATCCCAATTTGTAAGTTATCATTTTTCACTTGCAACTATTTCCAAATCTACATAAAGATTTATATTATTGACTATGTTATAGACATTGAAATGAATAAATGGTATCTATTTATTTCATGTTCAAGTAAACAACCGATTCTTATAATATTCCATGGATAATTCAATTCACTGCAAAAAGTTTAATATGCTGATTCTATAAATCAATCTATATTCAGTTTTCTATATAGAATTTTTTTATTCTCTATATAGAATTATTCTTATGTTTACACTTTTTTTAGTCAATTTTACTAGCAACTTTTTTTTTTTGAATTTAGTAAAACTTATATAAATAAATAGCGTATTGTCTTTATTGTATGCCATTTTCATAAACTTATTGTTATTTTCAGAAAAAATTCATTTCTAAAATTGGAGGCAACACTCCACAAATTAATATTCATCGTGCTTTTGAACGAACAATTAGTAATATATGCGCTATAAATTGTTCTTGGAAAGGTGTTCGATCAAATTATAAAATATGTAATTTAACATTTATTAAGATAATACTTGGTAAGTATTTTAAAATGCTATTTAACTGTGTTCTTAAATTTTGTGTTTTCAGATTACAAATGTATATTTTTTTATTATTAGTTACCGTTAATAATTATTTAAAATTATTTCTCTTTCATAAACACGCACACACATATTAATATTGTTAATTGAATTTTAACTTATTTTGCAGATATCGTATGTTCTATACATTCAGGTTTAACTGAAGCCGAATTTGATGTAACCTCCGCGGAATGGTTCAGGTTTGCCAAGCAACGAGCAGCACGAGAAGAAAAAAAAAATCTATAACTACGACATATATCAAAGCCTACAAGAGGCGATAACCGGCGCCAACGCGGAGGAAAAGGTCAGAGGCCCCTCCCCGAGAAACGGACAGCTATCGTCAAGAAATAGACTCCCCGCGGAAGACGCCCGAAACGCGAGCGCAAACGTGCAATGCCACACTTGCGGGAAGACCGGCCATTACGCGCGAGATTGCCGCTCGAACCGGTATGCAAGCAGATATACACTGCCGAAAGCAGAAAAGCCCCATAGAATCAACACCATAAAGTGCACCTATTGCGAGAAAGTAGGGCACAAGCGGGACGAGTGTTGGTCGTTGAACGGACGACCGAAAACAGA